TGGGGGTGCATCAATCCCACTCTCCATGTCACTGATGAAGCTATTAAATTCTGCAGCATGAAGGAACTCACAAAACACATCACATGACCTTACCTAATTTTTTTTTCTTAGCTGCATAAATGCTAATAGCTACTAACTAGAAAGCACCCTAGAAGAGTAGCTTTAAGGAAAACTGCTGTATGGAATAAATCTGAACGTTGTAGCATACTTCTCTGCTTCCATAAACAAACCCCTGTCCATATAGTGTCCTTTTGGACTAGGATCTCAGCAGCCTGTGTGCTTAAAGTAACAGATACAGACATCTTGATTTACTCAAGCATTGTCTCCTTATATACAGAAACTTCAACCTCTTAAATTCTCATTTGGATCCAGCGGCTATGATAATCTCTCCTTACAGATGTAGACACAAGCAGTTACTCTTGAAACTGTTTTTGTTCCCCAGACTTTAAATCTGTATCAGCAGACCATCAGCTTCCCATCTTGCACAAACACAAGGTGCAGACACTTGTTCCACTTCTGACATACCAGCAGATGCTTCACAGATGCAAACAAGATCATATCTTTTTGCATGCAGTCCAGATAATTCCCAAGAACTGTCAAGTGCTTTCACTCTCTGGAATGCTAGTTAGTTTTCTCTTAAGAGTTGCAGAATATTTAAGATATTTTTTAAATTAAAGTCCTGCTTAGTTATCATGTAAGTTGTTTCAAACCAGAACAGATCTACTTCTGTCAAGGATTCTGGGAAGAGATAAACTCCAGTGCATACAGAGCGAGTACAGTGTGTGTACGTGGTTGAAATCATTGCTCTTGCTTACCTATACTGCCCATGCAGCTGTGACAAGTGGCCTGAGTGTATTCGCCTCATTGCATACACACAGACTTTCTGTGTAGCACAAGTGCTATTATTACTCTGGCACTACCTGGGGGCACTGAACTGCTGTGAACACACTGTAGAGTTCATGTACTATGCATGCGTAGCAGGCTGCCCACTCAAGAGTTACAACTACTGCTACAAGTGAGTTGTCACACAATCCAGACAAAAGTATGAAATTTTCAGATTCTTCCTGAACTTCATTTCTAAAATCAAAATTAGCATCTGTTCAGGTGAATCAAAGTTCATGACAGCTATACTTTAAAAGTGAGCAAACTCTAGAATTTCCTCACAGTTAGGCTCAGGGTAATCCAGGGTCTTCTTGGGGAGGAAAGGGACAGTGTAATGGTCAAATGCACTTACTGTAGCTACTCTTAAATTTATTGTGCCCGCTTGCTGGGGACTTGTCCATATATCCTTGAAGGTCATGAGTTACTTAGGCTTATGGTGGCAGAAGCATGATTTCTGGCTTTTATTTCATAGTTCTAAGAGCTGTCCGTATATTTTGGAAGAAATTAAAACCACCTGAAGGAAGTGAGGAGGCTTAATGACTAGAACCTTGCCTGGGCAAACACAGGAATGGCACACTCAGCAGGCTGCAGGTTCTTTCCAGGCAGGATTTGATGGTGCTTTCTCAGCATTAACTTCTAAGAAGGAGCTGGCTGAAATAGGACATAGCATCTCCCTCCTTAGTTCTCTCCCTGTGAGCCAGAGAGGGTGACGGTGCAGATTTTCCAGCCGCCTTAGTCATCCAGAGGTCTGTTCGTGCTCCAGTGTTTGGTGCGGTCCAGCTCAGGTGTTTGCTGCGGCCCTCGGGACCTGTTCTCGCAGGTGCAGATGGCTTCTAGGGAGGGCTGCCCGCCCGGCCTGTCCGCCGGGGTGCTCTGCGGCCCGTGTTTCCCGCGCTCAGCACAACCGCTCTGCTGGTTCTTCAGAGGCCGGAGACCCCTCAGCCCAGCTTTAGGTGGGAGATGGTCTGGGCTGAGCAGCGCGAAGGCTGATGGCCCAAAAAATGTCCCAGGCGGGGCGCTGACAAACCTGCTCCCTGCCTGCGCGCGCGTGGCCCCGGGGAGCCCCCACCCGGTGCGTGTCACAGCGAGGCCAACGCCGACCCCTCGGCGGAGGCCGACACTGGACCTACACCTCGGTGGAGGCCAACACCAACACCTCGGTGGAGGCCAACACTGACACCTCGGGGAGGGCTGACACTGACACCTTCAGCAGAGGCCGACACCGGGCCGACACCCGGTGCACAGCGGGCGACGTGACACCCTCCGACCCAGGCTGGAGGGGCAGCGCCTCCCAAGAGGCTGTTCTTGTTCTGTCAGCACGGTCAGTGGAGGTCTCCCGGTGTGACGGGGGAAGTGCAGGTGTCCTTCCGAGCACCCCCCCCAGACCAGGGACCCTCTGGGCCCCTGTGGTCACTATATTCAGTCGTACCAGGGGGCCCTCCAGCTCCCGATTTGTTTTCTTCCTGTTGCCAGCAGCTTAGAGAAAACCAAGAGAAACACTTTGCTTTTGCATCAAATTTATTTCTTCTCTGGTACTGTTTTTCCTGCTTATTCCTGAATATATTCATTACTATGAATCCTTAAGGAGCTGAAGTGACTCTTCTTACTGTAAAAACTGCCCCACTTAGCCTTCCCGCTAGGTTTCCTGACCCACCTTTCCAGCCACAAATTGTGGGATGGTGGAAAAGTGTTCTGACAAAGCATTGCGTGCCTGTCCTGTTTGTGCGTGCCTGTCCTGTTTGTACATACCTTCTCTAACCATCTTAAAACATCCTTTGGGAAGGCATTCTGCAGAGTAAGTACAATTGAGAAAAAGTGTTTCCTGTGTTCAATTTGAACCACTACCTCCTAGTTTGATTTTATGCCCTTTTAGTTCTTATACTGGAGGAGAAAATGGACAGCTGTCCCTGGTGATGTTTTGTAGATAGCCTCTCTAAACAGTCATAGTTCAGATTTATAACAGCCTTTTTCAAGATGTGAGGAATGAGACTTCCATGTTCACAACAAATTCAGGTTCTGAGTTCCCTCTGAATCTGTGTAGTGGTGTTATTTTCTCTATTCCTTATCTAATACGCTTAGCATTACCTAACACATTTCCTTTAAAGGTCCATCTTGTCCTTCTTGATTTATATAGTATTGAAATAAATTAATCAATAAAATATAAAGTTAAGGTTGTTGACCACTTTATATTTATCAACTGTATATTCCCTCTGCCATTTTGATTGTGCAGTCAGTACCATAAGGTGGTTGTTCTGCCTTTTTTTTGTTTGATTTTTTGTTTGGGTTTTTTTTTTGTTGGTTTTTTTGTTTGTTTTTTTGCTCATATCATTACTGTTCTGAGCAAGCTAGCATTATGAGCAGTTTGCGGTCTGCATGACCATCTGTCCCCTTTATGGGTTATATCTGAATATGTTGAATATTTTGGCCTCATATACAAGAATAAATGGAACTCTAGGAGCATTTCCTTAAAATGAAAGTCTAAAGACATTGCTAAAACAGTTGAGAGCAGGTACATAGGTGACTTGAGCACACCAAAATGGACGTAAATAGTGGACTGCTTTTTATTTTGAGAGAAAAAAAAACAGAATGAAAATTAGAGTGGGAAGATAAATCTAGACAATTCAGACTACAAATAAGAATACATGTGAGACTATAAAGATGATTAGTGATTGGAATACTTCGCACAGGGACCCGTTAGATTCAGTTGCTATCTTTATAGTAAGACCATATTTTCTCCTGTGGTGTCATGCAGCTTAAAACTGTAGGAGTTATAGTTTGAAGCAGGAGTTTGAGGCAGGGGTAACATAGCACTGATGTGTGCTGTGCAGGCAGTCAGATAAGAAAGTCCACTCAGGCTTTAACTTGAGACTATTCTAGCTTTATACTTAGAGCTGTTAACAAGAAGGATAGTATGGGCGTGAAGCCTTTTTTTCTTCCTCCCAGAACCATGACAATCCCTTCCATTTTGGGAGCAGAAGTGTTGGGTGGCAATGACAATAGCAGCCACTTTCTATACTCACACTTCTGTTACTGTAACTTCATGTGAGCAGTCAAGGACAGCCAAGCTCTTTTTATGATTATGAGGCGGCCTTTGTTGCCATGTCAGTGCTGGGGCCCCAGGAAAAGTATGTCCAAGCATTGACATTAATTGAGGGTCAGAAGCCAAAGTGCTTTGGAGTTCTTTGCAGATCAGTAGGTTATTACTTATTGAGTTGTATTTGTGGCACAACAGGCTTTTCTTCTAAAAATTGGTTAAAATCAAATTTGCCATTAGTCTCAAATAATACATTCCCTACAGACAATTGTCAAATATTGAATATGAGCCCTTTCAGCTCAGATTTTTGCCAACATCAAGAGATTGTAGAAGCAATCATGTCCCTTGTTTTTCATTTCTTCATGGATCTCATGAAGACTTGTCTGTCTTCTGACCATGTTACAACAGCAGGATACCCTTATACTTGCCTGCATTCCACTCATACCCTGCTTCTATTCATATGTTGAGGTGATTATAACACTCAAGTTATAAGGATGCAGAGGGTGCATTTGTATACGTGCGTATGCTTTTTGGTTTAGTGCCATATTACACACAGTAAATAATTTTAGTAGCATTTGGAAATGAATTTTAATGGAGTCCATATAATGACCAGCAGCGTTGCTCTTTAGAGGGGGTAAAAAAATAAAGATAGCTTTAAAACAAAAGACAAATTTAAGCTTAGCAATCATCAGCCTAAAAAAGAAGGTTGGGCATTCTGTTAGGTGTATCATCCTTGTTCATCACAGCGCTGCCTGATTTGGTTCGTTCCTTATTTTGACTAAAAACATTTAACTGTGTTAGAGTAATGCTCAAGTGATTATGGCCTTTGCCTAATTTAAGGCTTCCCATTCATTTGGAATCAACTTTCTCCCACATTACTCCGTGTGCTTTGAATCTCTTCCCTTTTTATTTTGCCATCATGAACCCCCAACTCTCACCATTTATGAGGATGGATGTGTCACTGGAGTGAAACTGCTCTCATTGTCAGTTATTCTTTTCTTACAGCTCTCCCTCCCCTCATGGCTCGTCGATCTCAAAGCTCCTCACAGGGGGACAATCCCCTTGACCCTAACTATCTTCCCCCTCATTACAAGGAGTATTACCGCCTAGCTCTGGATGTGCTTACTGAAGAGGGCAAAGAAAGTTACCAACGCTTCCTGGCAGAGGAAGCAGCTCCTGATTTTCTCTGCAGCTCAGAGGTGGATCACATCATACAGAATCTCCAGAAACCCCAGTACGCCAATCAGGAAGGTAGCACAGATACTGCAGGTGACAATGACATGGATGGATCCTCTGGGACTTACTGGCCCATGAACTCAGACCTCGCTGTTCCTGAGCTTGACCTGGGCTGGCCAATGGTCTTTGGGTTCAGGGGAACAGAGGTGACAACCCTCGTGCAGCCACCACCCCCGGACAATCCTAGCATTAAGGAGGAGGCTCGCAGAATGATTCGAGCAGCTCAACAGGTGAGACGGTGAAGAGCCCAACTAAAGCATAGATAAAATTGTGTACAAACGATGAATCACAGTGCTCAGGTCCTCAGCTAATTCCCTTAACTTTGTTCCCCTTAACAGAGGGGAAGGATGATTCTAAAACTCCCGGTTACTGCATCAGAGCTAGCCTCTGCTTGCTGGTCTCATGGAAAAGAGTTTAAGGCCACGCTAAAATATACCAAGAGTTCACAGAATCCTACGATAGTTGAGGCCGAAAGGGACCTCTGGAGACAGTCTAGTCCAGCCCTCCTGCCCAAATCAGGGTCAATTAGAGAGGGTTACTTAGGACATGTCCCTGAGCATCTCCAAAGATGGAGACTCCGCAACCTTTCTGGGCAACCTGTTCCAGTGTTCAATCACCCTTACAGTAAAAGAGGTTTTTCTTATGTTTAACTGGAATTTCCTGTATTTCAATTTGTGTCTTGTGTCTTGTCCTTTCACTGAGTAACACTGAGAAGAGTTCGGTTCCATCTTGCTTACACCCTTCCATCAGGTATTTACACTCACTGATAAAATAAGAGTTGGGAAGGACAGGGAGATAGCGCTTTGAAGCTGCTTCCCCTATTATCAGCATATAGATGCAGCTATATAGTGGCTGACTGCACCTTAGCCAGGAAGTTACCTAAAACTGGCAGAGGTGTGTTGGAGGGGCTGAGCAGGTAGTGGCCAAGCAGCTCAATAGAACCTTCCAGTATGGTTACTTGACCAAAAATAAACCTGCTATCATTGGATTAATGAGTAAGGGAATGCTCAGTAGCAGTGTTTTTCTCACCTTCATATAGAGAATATACACCTTAGATAGCAATTCTTTTTCCAGTTCTGGGGCCCACAATGTTTAAATGAACCTTTAAATGGGAAGGAAGTTGAAATGAAGATGGTGCAGCAGTGCAGATTTGGAATGTGAGGCACTGGGGAACATGATCAATCGGGGCATAAGCAGGCATAGATTGCTGATGTCTTTCTTGCATTGTTTTCCTAGGTGGTAGCCATAGTGATGGACATTTTCACTGACGTGGATCTGCTGTTTGAGGTGTTGGATGCTGCTGCTCGCAGAGTGCCTGTGTACATCTTGCTGGATGAAATGAACTCTCAACTTTTCCTTGATACAGCTGCTAAATGCAGAGTCAATCTTAACTATGTGGAGGTGAGCGAACCAAAGACCTGCCCTGCCCCTAATTCGCACCCTTAGGGGTTTACATCCTGGGACACAGAGGGCTGTTATGACAGTAAAAACCTGAGAAAGGGGAAAATGGGCCGAGGCCTAATGAAAGATGAATATGAAGAAACCTTGGAGAGCTGGCCCAACAACACAGGGCTGAAGGCCGAGGACACCCTGATAAATGGGTTTATCTATCCATTGTGCATGCAGACAGAATCACTAGAAATGAAGTATAAAAATGGTGGCAGGATGGAAGTTAAAAGAGCAGGGGGAAGAAGGAGGGGCAGGGGGAGGGAAGTGACAGCTTCCAACTGAGTCGGTGCCTTGTCTGCTTTGCAGTTCCTAAGAGTGAGGACAGTTTCTGGCCCAACCTACTACTGCCGCACAGGGATGTCCTTCAAAGGGCACGTGAAAGAGAAGTTCCTCTTGGTGGACTGCATGGTGGTGCTGAGTGGCAACTACAGGTGAGAAGCCCTGCAATGTTATGTGTCCCAGTTTCAGTGAGAAAGAGGGTGGTTAATTGGTAAAGCAGTGCTCCGGCACTTCCAAATGAACATCAGTGGCAAAAGTTCTTCTCGCTGATGGATACTGAGTAGCAATTTTCACGAAAAATACACCGTTTTGCAACTGAGGTAGATACACCAGTTAAACAGGCCCTCAGGCCTAGACACCTGAAGCTAAGCTTCCTTCACATCAGGAGTGTAAACAATCTGTAAAAAAGATACAGTAATTATAAGGTATCATGGGTTAATGCCAGTAGGCAGCTAAGCCACACACAGATATTTGCTCACTACTTCCAGCAGGACGTGGGAATTGGAAGGCCAAATGTGAGAAAACACATTGTGGGTTGAGATAAAGACAGTTTAATAGCTAAAGCAAACGTGCATATGCGAGCAAAATAAGGCATCCGTTCACTACTTCCCATCAGCAAGCAGATACCTAGCCCTTTCCAGGAAAGCAGAGCTTGCCTTGGGAAGACGAACGCCATAACGCTGAACATCTTCCTCCTTCCTGCACAGAATCATGGAGCGGTTGGTGTTGGAAGGGACCTCTGGCAGTCATCTGGTCCAACCCCCTGCTCAAGCAGGGCCACCTATAGCCAGTCACCCAGAACCGTGTCCAGGTGGTTTTTTCAACATCTCTAAGGAGGGAGACTCCACATGGTCCCTGGGCAACCTATTCCAGTCTTCAGTCATCTGCACAATAAAAAAAGCTTTTCCTTCTGTTCAAACAGAACCTTCTGTGTTTCAGTTTGTGCCCATTGCCTCCGGTCCTGCCACTGGGCACCACTGACCAGCCCGAATCCAACAGCTCCCTTCAAAGCAGAATGGTTAGAGACACCAAGGAGCAGGCCTTTGCGTTTGTCATGTTTTATCCCAGCTGAAACCAGAACAACATTTCCAGAGCAAGTTACTTGTATGGAATTACCCGTACCTTTATTGTTAGTAACTATACTATACCCATGTTATGCCCGAGTATCTCAATCAAGGGATGTATGCTATTGTATCCCATTTTCTATTGTGGGACTGAAGCACATCTTACATCCTTGCTCATAACCAAAATCTACTTCAGTCTGTCAATAACCCCTCCCCCACCACGGCCTCAAAAACTCCCTCACGTAACATCACAGAGGAAGTCAAACGTAAGCCTTCTTATGCTGATATTAGAAACCTTTTGTAGCTCAGTCTGAAAGTACTCACATACAGATTACTGGTGGCTGTCCAACATCCCTGCTCAAAGTAAAGCTATCTTCAAAGTTAGATAAGGCTGCTTAGGGCCATCTCCAGTTGTGTTTTGAGTATCTCCAGGGATAAAGACTGCCCGACCTCCTGAGCACTTGCGCCAATGTTTGACTGCCCTCATTGTGGAGAACTTTTTTCTTTATAGCTCACTATTTCTCTTGCTGCAATTGTATCTCTTGCCTTGTATCAGCGTACCTCTGAGAAGAGGTTGGCTCCATTCTCCTTACAACCACCCTTTATGTAGTTGAGGACAGCAATCAGCTTATTGCCCCCATCCCCTGCTCCCGCCATCCTTAGCATTGTTTTCTTCAGGCTGAACAAGCCCAGCTGCTCCGGCCTTGCCTCATACCTAACATACTCTGTCCTGCTATCCATCTTGGTAGCCCTCTACTAAACTTCCTCTGCTTTATCAACACCGTCCTTGCTAGGAAGCCTAAAACTGGGAAACCATGAACCAGTATATGCTAGGGTCTACCCAGCTGGAAAGCAGCTTGGCTGAAAAGGATGTGGGGCTCCTGGTGGACACCAGGTTGAACACGAGCCAGTGGTGTGCCTTTGCCACAAAGAAGGCAAATGGTATCCTGGGCTGCATTAGGCAAAACATTGCCAGCAGGCTGAGGGAGGTGATCCTTCCTCTTTATTCAGCAGCAGTAAGGCCACACCTGGAGTGCTGTGTCCAGTACAAGACAGACATGGACATACTGGAGAGAGTCCGGTGAAGGGTCCCAAGGATGATGAAGGGACCAGAGCACCTCATACATGAGGAAAGGTTGAGAGAGCTGGGACTGTTTAGCCTAGAGAAGAGATGGCTTGGGGGGATCTTATTAATGTGTATCGATACCTGAAAGGAGGGTGCAAAGAGGATGGAGCCACTTTTTAGTGGTGCCCGGTGACAGGACCAGAGGCAATGGGCACAAATTGAAAGACAGGAGGTTCTGTTCGAACAGAAGGAAACATTTCTTTACTGTGAGGTTAACTGAACACTGGACTAGGTTGCCCAAGGACTGTGTGGAATCTTCCTCAGTGATACTGAAAAAAACATCTGAACACAGTCCTGGGCAATTGTCTGTAGGTGTCCTTGCTTGAGTGGGGGGTCTGGACCAGGTGACTGCCAGAGATCCCTTCCAACATGAACCATTCTGTGAAAACTGGACTCAGTACTCCACATACAGCATCACAAGTGTTGACTCGGGGTGGGGGGAATAATCACTTCCATTGACCTGTTGGCTGCACTTTTACTACTGCATCCCTGGATGTGTGGAGCCGCCCTCGCTGCAAAGGTGCTGCTGTCTTTTTTTCATCTTGTTGCCTGCCAGATCCCCCAAGTCATTTTCAGCCAAGCTGCTTTCTAGGTAGTCATCCTCAGCCTGTATTGGTGGATGGTGTTGCTCCATCCCAGGTACAAGATTCTGTATTTGCTGTTGCTGAATTTCATGAGGTTCCTGTCAGCACATTTCCCCAGCCCGTTGAGGTCCCCCTGACTGGCACATCAACTATGCCGTCCCCCCATTCTGGCGTCATCTGCAAGCTTGCTGAGGGTGCGTGCTGTCCTGTTGTCTAGGTCACTAATGACAGGGTTAAAGACTATTTCCCCAAGCCCTGACCCCCAAGGAACACCACTTATAAGTATCTGCAAGTCAGACTTCACTGATCACCACCCGTTAAGCCTGACAGTCCAACCAATTTCCCATTTACTGTTTGGCACACTCATTCAGTCTGCAGTGTTCCAGTTGGCTACAAAGGTACTTGTGTAAAGGCCATGAACAACCCTTGCTAAAGCCAAGAAAAACCTTATCTTCTGCTGTCCCTTTGGCCGTGCAGCCAGCCTTCTCTTTACAGAAGGCACTCAGACTGGGTCAGGCATGGTTTGCCTTTGATAAATCCCTGCTGTCTGATCCCAGTTGTCTTTCTGTTATTCCTGTGCCTGGAAAAGGCTTCCAGGAAGATTTGCTCCACAATTTTCCCTCAGACTGAGGTAAGGCTGACTTGCTGTAGCTCCCTAGTTGATCCTTTTGCTCTTTTTAAAGATGGGCGCAACATTTTAGTTATAAAAACCGATTACAACCTAAAGTAATTGCAGGAACATCTACTTCATATAAAGATTATCATCAGCTCGCTCTCTTGCCGTTGTTACTGCTGATTGGCTTTTTTAGAACAGAAGTCATTTATTGCCTTGTGAAATCCTCTGCAAAGATGTGATGCCCAATCAATTCATAACTGTGAGGCTTGGGAACAATAGCGTGTAAGGAATCGCTACCTGAGCCATAAATAATATCAGGAGAATTTTCTTCAGGCAAGCAAATGGGTTAATGTAAAGTGGTACAATCGTGTGAGTTGATGCTAATACACTATCGTTACTTCTATTTCTCTTTGTAGTTTCATGTGGTCTTTTGAGAAGATTCACAGAAGCATTGCACATATCTTCCAGGGGGAGCTGGTGGCCAGCTTCGACGAAGAGTTCCGAATTTTGTTTGCACAGTCAGAACCTCTTGTTCCTCCAGCCAATGTCTTGGCAAAGGCAGAGAACACGTTTGCCATGACTCCCTTTGGTAATAACATGCCGTTCTTTCCAAAAAAAGGACCCCTGATGTTCCAGAGGGATGACAATCTTTTCCCCTCCTTTATGGACAGAGTTGATCCAGACAGGTACTTCCTGTCAAATTTCAGGCGGGATGACATGTTACGCCATACTGTGGAGGGGTCGGCCATGCGAATGTATAAAAAGTTAGAAATGGAGAATTCTCAGATGGATCCTGTCAGGGGTTTTCTCCGATCCAAGCAGTTGGAATTGGATGCTTTCAAGAGACACAGTTTTGCAGAAGGAACATTTGAAAATTTTGCTTCTTCTAAACAGTATGCCAGGCAGATGTTCATGAACAATATGGATGAATTTAAAATCCAGTCTAGCCATTTTCAGAAGGATCAGTTCTACCAGTACCAGTTTGAACATCCCCATCTTTCTGGCAGACCTCAGGGACTCTTTGAGAGAATCCGAGGTGGTAGGCCAGGATTCAATGAACTGGAAGACTATGGAGAGGGACCCAGATACCCTGAACTTGAAGGCAGTTTTCCACAGGAGAGTTTCCCCTTAAGGCTGGATTACGTACCTTCAAATTCTTCCAGGGAAGTGAGACATGGCTCTGATCAGCTGAATCCTGCAGGCAATGGCCCAATGGGAATGATGTTAAGACGGCAGAATATAGGACAGAAATTTATTTGCCAGACTTCTCCTACACAGAAACAAAGCCTGGAACAACGCCTGTTCTTACAAGACAAAGACGAGGACCAAGATGAAGACAAGAACACACAGGAAAACAGAACAGGTTTACGTAACTGGAGGATTTCTTCATACCTTAGTGCATATCAGTCTGAACCAGAAGAAGGTCTTCCAATGCCCATGGAATCAGAGGCATATAATGATGTTCTTGGGGATACCATCACAAAGCACTCCACTGACCTCATCCCATCATTCAAATCCCCTATGTCTTTTAATAGCAAGTCACTGGGAATTGAAAGTGCCAAAGAATTTGTAGATCCTGATAGAGTAGGTGAAGAAACCCCTATAATGAAACAAGATGCCTTTAGGTCCAGAATAAATCCTTTGATCCAGAGGAGCTCAAGACTCAGGTCCTCTCTGATTTTCAGCGCTGCCAAGTTAGATCAGCCTAACACCACACTAGAAAAGGTTCAGATGATCCAAAAAGAACAAATGTCCAGTGAGTTGACAAAAGACAATGAAACTATAAAGACAGCTGCCTCATCTAAAGTGGCAGAGCTTTTGGAGAAGTACAAAGCTGTCGGCAAAGACACAGAGCGAGCTACAGTCACTCATACCAAAGCTGTTTCCAGTTATCTACAGGAAGAATCACAGAACACAGAGAAGAAATGTACCAAATCCGTGCAATATAAGATTCTGGAGAGTAGGGTACTAGACTCCAAAGACTCCTGCAGTACTTACAAAATGCATGGAGAGGCCGACAGACCATTTGGAATGGCCTCATCAACCCCCCAGCTTCTTGACACATTGAGTAAAGATCCCCTAGCACATATTAGCACTAAGGTGGACAAATTATCATCTCGGTTTTACCCTGTAGAGAATAAACCTGCTCTGCCAGAGAAAGAGAGTCTTATATTTGT